GCTATTAAAAAACTTCGTTAGCGCAGCCGCCATTTTGGAGTGAAAATGCCAACTGGACAACAGCACAGATACACAGAAACAGACAGAATGACAACGAAAGAGAGCACTTCAGCACGTGTGTTTCTGGATGCGGTCGGTACCTGACTCGGTCTGACAGTCTCGATCGCTCGTTCGTCGAACTTCTTCGTTCTCACCAAGAAGAACCCCGGAAGTGCCAGATTAGAGCTGTGCTTTCCTTCATGCAGGATGCGTTGGAGTGACCCCTCCACCCTGAAAGTGTATGTTGCCGCTATTGCAGCACATCACGATGTGGTAGAAGGTAAGTCTGTGGGAAAGCACGGCCTGATCATCAGGTTCCTGAGGGGCGCGAGAAGGCTTAATCCTCCTCGCCCTCACCTCATACCCTCGTGGGATCTTTCCCTGGTCTTAGAGGCCCTGCAGAGAGCACCCTTCGAACCACTGCACTGGCTTCGGTCAAGAGGGTAGGGGACCTGCAGGTGTTTTCAGTCGACGAATCGTGCCTGGAATTCGGACCCGCCAACTCTCACGTGATCCTTAGATCCCGGCCCAGATACGTATCCAAGGTTTCCACCACTCCTTTTAGAGACCAGGTGGTGAACCTACAAGCACTGCCCCTGGAGGAGGCAGACCCAGCCCTAGCTTTTCTCTATCCCGTCCGTGCTTTGCAACTGTACATGGACCAAACGCAGAGCTTTAGAACTTCAGACCAGCTCTTTGTCTGTTATGGAGGCCAGCAGAAGGGAAAGGGTGTCTCTAAGCAGAGGTTGGCCCAATGGATAGTGGATGCCATCGTTTTGGCGTACCAGGCACAAGGCAAGCCGTGGAATCTCTACTAGGAGTGTTGCCTTCTCCTGGGCTAGCTGCGGGCTGGGCGACACCAGACACATTTTCTAGATTTTACAACCTCCGTGTAGAGCCAGTGTCCTTCCGTGTACTCGCTCCAAGTAGCATGTGAACGCTGAGGATCCGCTCGTTGCCTCGCTTGCCGCGCAAAATTCCCCTCCCAAGGGACCGGATGCGTGTGCTTATATTGCTCCTCAGGTGAGTACCCAAGCTGGCAAACCCTGTTGGAGTACCTCCAGCACCCTCGGCAGTCGACGTGACAGAGACGTCTTACGGCAGGCCTAACACTCATATGCAGTGGTGGAACCTGTGCTAGGCTAGGTGCCCATATGTTGTGATCCCTACGGCGATCCCATATGTTTAATCTTTCACAGTATGGCTCCCCTGTCGGCGAGCCTTTGTCTTTCCCTTGGCAGAGCCCACTCTCTATCCATGAGCTAAAGAATCATTATCTTTTTAGCTCAAGAGCCTGTAAATTCTGCTCCGGCTATAATCATATGATTTGTCTAAGTCACCTGACATCAGAGAGCATCTCTGCTAGAGGAGACATGAGCTGATCAGGCCTCAGCTTGGGCTGTTTGAAAACAGAGAACCTGAACCTCTGAGGGTTTCGTGCGAGTGATCCATGGCAGGGTTGATGTGATCCAGCCGAACTAGGTCAAGTCCTTCCCTTCCATTAGAGTGTCATTAGTTTTCAAAGTCACCATAATATTTTGTTTTTTATCATCCTTGTCAGAATCGTCTAATGCAGATGAATGGGGAAGCTACAGTCTATTGTTCGCTAAGGGGAGGTAATGTCATTTAATTTGCGCTGTACAGCTGAGCTCTTTATTATTTTTCTTTGTATTTGCCCATTAGCAGTCTTTACACCTTTTCTTTTTTCTTTTCTTTTCTTTTCTTCCAAAGACATACACAAAGCATCTTTTCTTTTTAGCTTTTTGTCTGGTTTTTCTTTCAGACAGTGGGCTCTTCTGATCTCTTCTGGTGATTCTCATCACCACTCGTTAAAGTTATGCCACAATCAGATTGACTCTGAAATAGTCAGATACTTGACAGATGCTTGATTCATTTTCTTGTGCAAAACAAACTTTTAAAACAATGTTTTAAAAATTGATTAATAAGATTGAACAGGTGATACATCTTAGTTTAAAGATTTGTGCTTTACTGGCCCAATTTCTTTCATGTATTGATTTTCTAAACTGAAAGTTCAGGCAGAACAGTTTTTTAATAGCAAATAGCCTTTAATTTTGTATTTTTAGAACTGGCACAATGATGATAAAGACTTACTTATAAAGACTGGATCATTTCCTGTATATAGATTTTTTCTTTAATTAAGATTGCTCATTTGTCCTGCCATATTGATTCTGGTGGAAATAGTTGGCAATATTATGACCCGTGGGTGTTGATTCAGTGTTTTTAGTGGAAGCACACTGTACTGAATCAAATCCTTTGCAATCTCAGAGCACTTACAGGTTACTTTGACCTACTTTCCTAAGTGGGATTTTCAAAGGAAGTACGGTGCCTCAAGCCTTCCGTTACATTTATAATGTTGAGCAAGATCTGTGAATATCATGATATGCTGTTAGATCGTTAATGTATGCCTAATATATTGATGCTTTCATCAGTACATTCATGCAAATCTTATGCTAAGATGGATGTATCTTTGCAAAACACTGAAAACATCTTCTACCAAGGGCATTAGCTTTATTGATTGGATTTTTTTTAAAATTGATTTATTCTTTTAGGTTTTACTTGTGGCAGTCTTGGCTCACTTATCTGAAGTCAAATAACACATGGCCAAAGTAGTAGTAATAATCATAATAATAATCATAATAATCAAAATAATAACAATAACCTCACACTTTTATAGAAAATTGCTTGTAGTATAGAATATCCACAATATTGTCTTCTGAAGATCTGCTTTTAGCTGAATTGAACTAATTTCCTAATTGATAAACTTTATACAGATATTGAACTGAACTGAATCAACACTAAACTGACTTCACCTGAATAAGGACACTATTATCTTTATTATCTATTAACTAGCTGCTTTACAGTAGAATTGAATTCTGTTTGCATCATTGATCATTATTATCCTGATGTTTATCATCATAACTGCTTTGAAACAATCCGTCTTGTATAAAGCGCTATATAAATAAAGGTGACTTGACTTTGACTACATTATGTAAGTTGCTTTTGATAACAGCTAAATGCTAAATGAATAAATGTAAATGTAGGTAAGTAATTGGGCAGCTTAATTACCAAAGATAATTCTTTTTATTTATTTATGAACAGTATTGTTATTTATTCATTTATGAGCAGTACTACGAAAATAGTGCTTTGATAATGAATAAATATGAATGCAAATAAAGGCAACTTAATTACTATTATAATTTTTATTGATTTATTTTTAAAAGGGCACATGCTTCTTTCTTCTACCAAAATACAATCTTATGAAAAAAAAACAAATGATGCTTGGATTTTTACCACAGAGAATGCTTGAGTCCTCTCTGTTGTAAATGCACATCCTCTTTCTCTAAGGGCTCAAGTGGATTGACTGGCTCAATCCCCTGTGCCTTTCATTGTAAACGGGAGTAAATCTGGAGGGGAGAGTAGAGAGAGCAGCTTGTTAACCGCTTGTTGCTCTCAGCCGTGCAAACAGTGAAGTCATACCTTCCAAGGCTTGTTTTGCTCACCGGTGATGTCACCAGCAGCCAATCAGCAGGCGCTGCTACTGTAGGTGGTGGGTGCAGCGGGAGTCTTGGGTATACGCACAGGGACGCGCTGGCGGCACTCCGGCTCTCATCATCACATCATTACGGGGCTAGAGAGGAGGAGGGAAAGCAGCAGCTGAGAATATCTAATCACAGTCATGATTAAGTCATCTGATTCCCCAGCTTTTTATGTGTGATGTGCCTCACAATTACATATTGAATAAATCAGTTTTAGTCCACTTGGGCTTTGATTAAGCCATACTGTTTTATCTGTCATGTTAGGCACCTCTTAAGGAAGCTCTCACACTCTTACATACGTTGATTATACAAGTTTTTCATTGGCCACCGTGACCTTAAGTCAAGGTCAGTTTTGTTACAGAGGAGAGGAAGACTTGATGTTTTATCCTGTCTAATGCAAGTTTTTCCATCTAGTCATCTATATGTGATTAATCATATTTAATTACCTATTCATTTGCTGCAGGCAAGATAAGCTTGGATGACACGGTTACTGTAGCAAAGGTTGATTGCAGTTTCACTTCGTCTGTCCGATACGGTTTCATTACTTTAATTGCTTTCTAGAAAATTGTGATTCAATTAAACTCACTCATTTAGACATTTCACTGTTGTTGTAAACAAAATATTCAGCTCGGCAGGATATTAGTGGGGTTCAAAAATCTGAGACCTCTAGTGAAAATGATTCTGTTAGCATGCTTTTCTAATTTAGGACTCCAGACATACTGTAAAGTGAAACATTTAGGAGCTAAATTACCTCTTTTAAAATTACAGATTTGCTGATTGCTCAGAAGCATTTTAAAAATAAAGAAATATTTATAAAATATTGTTATTAATATATTTCGTTAAAACTTGAAATATTGTTGTGAATATGTATCTTTAATTACATGCCGTCATATGAACAACCAGTCAGTCAATAGCCTGGCAAACCTAAGTACACATCAGAGTTTACAGGTTCCCTATTTGATTAGTGACCAAGCAGAATCTTAAATATTTCTTATTTTTTTGTCCTAAGTTTTCTTTGTTTTACATTTTTCAAATCCTACAAAAACATGTTGACTTCAAGGTTTAAGTGTGAGACAAAAACAAAACAATATCTCATATTGCCATTATTTACTTTTGAGCCCATTGTAGTTTTTGTCTTAGTAAATAGAGAGAGAATGAGTGTGTATATTGATTAGTAAAATAGTTTCCAGTTTCCGGAGAGATAAAATAGATTTCTGAATAAGGCTAATATATGCTGAATTGAACTTCAGCACATAGCCTGCAGACTTGCTGCTTCATGGTTGATCTACTAACCAAAATCTAATTTCAGCTGTTAGATGAATCATTGCTCACCAGAGCAGTTTCAGTGTGTGGTTGGTACAATCCTGTGTGTGATTGCTCATCAAAGTCCATATGTTCTCACAGGTGCCCACGGAGTCAGAGAGGAGCCCCAGTTTGTGACGGCCCGCGCTGGGGAGACCGTGATTCTGGGATGTGACGTGGCCCACCCACTCAACGGCCAGCCCTACGTGGTGGAATGGTTCAAGTTTGGAGTTCCCATCCCCTTCTTCATCAACTTCCGCTTCTACCCTCCCCATGTGGACCCCGAGTACGCCGGTGAGCCCTGATTACTTCTGTCTCACTGCATAACATCATTCACACAAATAAAGCCATTGTTTTATTATTTGTTATGACTAATAAAACTTTTAATGAATTCATTATATGATTATTGCATTTAATAAAGGAAATTCACACATTTTACATGACTTTCAGAGATATTCTTTCTATTAGACAGTGTTTTGCATTGATAGTGCCATTTATATTTCATGCACTGAATGCATTAAAATGCATTGAAACAATTTGGTCTTGTTTTTGAGATAAATACTATTGAAATGTCTCTTTCGCTTTACAATTATTACACTTCTTGTTTTTTTCTTATGTGGCTCTGATTTGTCACATGAAATTAGTGAACAGTAATTGCCTGTTTGATTTGAGATCATTATCTTCAGTCTTCATCAGATAAAACCATCTCCATTAATATATTCGAACAATGCACAGACTGTTTCATCACAACAACTGTGATTCTCCCAAACTTACCCTTATGTGAACCCTGTTTTAAAGATGGAAGGTTGCCTTTCCACATCTAAATCTCTTTAAGATAGCCGTATTTGCGGATATTGCAGGTAGGGATGTACCAATTTGAAATCAAATGCTGAAAAAAAAAGATTTTAACTAGAAACTAGGTCGATATTGATTAATTTTGCTCTTAGGTCTCAGTCTTTGAATTATGGTAAATGAATACAATGAAATTACACCCCTACAAACCACAGGAGGTACAAGAGCGATTTGCATTGCATTCAGTCATTTCGACTAAACATTACTGGGTTGGATCTGTTAGTTGGATGCAGACTGGGAAATTTAATTTATCACCCACCAGACACAGTGTTTGGTGAATGCCCAATTTTATTAACTACTAGCACTATTACTATGACAAAAGATACCCTGCTCTTTCGCCAACCATTTTAACTTTTTTAATTCAATTGTATAAAGGAACTTTTTTTTTAATTTTGGATCCTGGTTTGATGTAATAAACAGGTCCATATAAGTCAGGTACAATTTAATTTTGACAAGTTATAATTTTGTCATAATCTGCCAGTAAATATAGGTGGCTGATCTACATACCTGATTGTTGGATATGTCACCCGATTCATTTTTTTCATATACAGGGTATCGTAGCAGGTCGTTCAGCCATATGTTTGACCCACTGAAATGGAGACACTTACTGTTGGCTCTGAAATCAGCCCAGTCCAGACCTCAGCACATTATTTAATCTCATTCATAGGGGCTGAAAGCTTTATCACAGGGCAAGAGCCAGCCGTGTCAACAGATTATGAATCGAGACATACGGGCTGGTTTGAAGAAAGCTCTTATCTTTTGCTCCGATGGATCTGACGGTCCAGATCAGTGGACAGGTGGAAGAGGTGCTGATCTCTAGAGAAAAGCATCAGCCGAACAGATGAAAGAGGTTTTGTGCTGGGGTTGGGGTAGAGTGAGGCAGATCAAATATGATCCTTTTTTTCCTAATTGAGATTGAAAATTACATCATTGATAAGAAGTGGAAACATAAAGGGCATAATTTAAGAGCATGTCAGATTTATAAAAGCAAAGAAACTGTGATAGTTTATCAGACGTGGCTTAGGGCAGGATATGCAATTTTAATGGCTCTCACTCACGGTGAACGGTAATGAGAGGGGAATCTTTTTTACTTTCTCTCATCCTGAATTTCCAGCAGTGATTTTTAACACATTGTGCAGTATTTTTTTAAAACAGATTAAGATTAATAAAACATCTCATAGGCTGTTGCTCTGCTGGTGCTGGAATCCTGGGATTAATGTGATTTAAAACCTTATTTGAAGTTTATGACTCAATCACCAATCTTGGTTAATAAAGCATCCAATTTCTCCTACTTTTACATTTGGATTATCTTTGGCATCATCTAACATTCACTCAGGTAATCTTTAAAAAATAAATATATATATATGATAAATTGTATAATTAATTGTATTATGAATGGTAAATTAATCTATAGATTTATTTATTGAAATTTATAACAACAGATAGACAAACAATCAAACAAAAAAAACATCGCAATATAAAATATAAGAAAATCTGGTCATGCGCACAGTAACTGTGTGCTACTAACAAGACAGAGACTTCATCCAAAAACGATTTACAATTTTAATGAATTTTAATTTGATCAACGTTCCATTGAGCAGGATCCATAATTGTGGCATACAGTATATGGCCTGTGTGCTTCTGTGACCTGTATATAAATGAGGTTTTACATGTGGTCATATTCAGCAGCATATTTCCTCTGATCTCTGGCCTCATAGTGGGCACCGCATCCTCCAGACTAATGACTCAACTCAGCACATCCACAGTAGCTCTGTGTCTTAGTGCGTGAGACCCGGGCACAACTCTCCCAGCTGTAATGGTAACTGGTTCGCATCCAGCATAGCTCAGGCATAGATATCCAATATCCACCACAAAAAGCCTGCTTGTCACCAAATGACGGATATGAAACCTATGTAATGGGCCTTTGTCTAAGCATGGGATTGAGAGATGATAGAGTCCCACATATCTGAGAGTCACTGTATTATTCATTAATGCTAAAAAAAGATGAAATAGCAATTCTTTAAAAGTTTTAGTCTTGTTTATTCAGGAACTGCACAAAAAAATAGGCCTGCAGTGCTGGAAGTCATGTGAGTTACTGCTTTACTGCAGTTTTTAAAAAATAGTTTTCTGTTACTTGCATTGGTGTTATTGTCCTTTTGAGTTATGCATCATGACATGCTAAAGGGATAGTTCACCCAAAAATGAAAATTCTGTCATAATTTTTGTATTATTTATATACTATTAATATACTATGTACTATTAATTGAATTTATTTTAATATATTTTGGTATTATTTACATACTATTAATATACTATATTATACTATATTATTAATATTTATTAATTTTATAATATTTAGAATGAGCTTATTATTATCTTATTTTATTATTTATGTATTACATAGTTTATTAAAATATTAGTTACACTTTTTGTTAGGTTACAAATTGTCTTGTAGTATTTTTATTTTATTTTATTTTAGCTTTATTTAAATTAACAAATTAATAAAAATGTAACCGTTTTAGTTGTAATGACAATAATAAAACTTGTACTCACTCTCATGTCATTCCAAACCTGTATGACTTTCTTCTGTGGAACACAGTGAAAGTCAAACCTGCATGTGTCCGATTCCTCAGAACTCTTTAACATAAAAAAAACAAAAACATATATATATATATATATATATGTATATTTCACATGCAGGTTTGACCTAGACTTTCAACTTAATGAGGGAGAGAGAAAGAAAATGAGGGAAAATGTACTTCCGTCCTGTATTGACCTCCACCGTGTCACTTCCTGAGGACTATCTTTAACCTACATCATGTGCCATTATTGTTTCTCTTGCTCTCATCAACACTCTCTTACAGCTGTAAAAGTAGGCCAGGCGTTTGACCGCTCTCGTTTCGCTTCTGGTTCTCCTTCAGTGTTATTGATCTGCAGGGCCTTACAGAAATTGCTGTGTGTAAGATATATTTTTAAAGTTTTTTGTTTGTGCGACCTTGGTTTGTTCAGAGATGAGATCACTGGACACAATTGCGTACTGTTTCCAGTCGTGCCAATAGTGCTGCTATCTATATACATGGAGAAAGACGGCACTATCTGCATTATTTCATCATTATTTCAAACAAGAATAAAATCTAACAACAAAGATATAAGCCATGCTTCACACACAAAAAACATATTTTTAGACTGTACAACTAATGCACATGCACGATTTTATTTTTCTTATTTACATAGTGTTTTTATTTTGTATGCTGTGGGACTATAACAGATTCTTTTCAGACTGTGTATTGGCCATGGTAATGCCATTTTTATTTAAATAATTTTTTTGAGGCCCTTAATAGCCTTTAACGCTGCTGTCTTGCAATCCCTCTGCCTGTCCTGATATTGTTTCTGGCCATCTGTCCAGCACTGTTGCCAGAATATAGAGAAAATGCATAAATCCCCCTCTCTGCTTGACCCTTGAAGACAGCCAGCCAGCTATACATAGTGTCACAAAGGATTTGCCCATGTCTGGTGTGGTTAGAGATGTGTGTTTCCCGATTTGCTCATGGGAGTTATAGAAATTACTGTGAGCCTCTTCGGCTCTCACGTCAGCCTTCATGGCCCCTGGACCTGACACTGCTGTCGCCAAAACAACACTCATGAGTGATGTTGTGGACCCAGGCTGTGTACATCATTGCGAGAGTAAAGATAAACAATTAGATTTAATTTACTTGAATTAAATGTGTAATGGCTGTAGGCTTCTTTGTTTTTTCATGTACTAAACTAAAAAAAACTTAAGAGTGGTGTGAATTAAAAGATATTACAGTATAAAGTATATACAAATACTATATTTTTAATACAAAATGTATAAATTAATTTAAATAAAAATATGTTTAAAAAGCATATTTCCCTTTATATTATAAATACCATTTGGAATGGCAATGAAGTTATAATGTTTTGTTATAGATGGGTGTTTTGGACCCCTTGGATCAGAGCATCTCTCACATCTTTTGTGTGCCTCTGAACCCCTCAGGTCGAGCCAGCCTGCATGGCAAGTCATCTCTACGCATTGAGAGGGTTCGCTCGGAAGACCAGGGCTGGTATGAGTGCAAGGTCCTGATGCTGGAGCAACAGTATCACACCTTTCACAACGGCAGCTGGGTGCACCTCACAGTCAACGGTGAGTCTCTGACCTAAGATCAGTTTTCTTCTCATGTCACTTATAGGGTTTGTTTTTAGGATTTAGGTCAGGTTGGGAAGGTCAAGTTGAACCCAGTTTTGTTGTCCGATTGTGTCCAAACCAGATGTGCTGTGATTAAAAAAGTGTGATTCAAGTTTCTTTTATAACTAGTTGAAAGTCGTACGTTTTTTGGCGTTCAGTCAGCTGTTTGGTTTGGTTTCGTGGGCATAGCCCCATCTACACCAAAAACTTTTTGGACCAATATTCCATTCCTCATGTAAATGGCCGTCAAAAGTATTTAGGCACTTTTGGACACTTACAGTCAGCCATACTTAAATTTCTAAATGTCAAAATATTAAACCGAGTGACAAATGCAAGCAAATTAGGCTATGCTTTTTTGTTGTTGTTGTTTTGAAGTACACTATTGTTCACAAGTTTGGGATCTGGAAGATTTTTTTAATGTTTCTGAAAGTCTCTTATGCTCACTAAGGCTGCATTTATTTGATCAAAAATACAGTAAAAACAGTAATATTGTAAAATATTATTACAATTTAGAATAACTGTTTTCTTTTTGAACATATTTTCAAATGTCATTTATTCCTGTGATGGCATAGCTGAATTTTTAGCATCATTATTCAAGTCTTCAGTGTCACATGATCCTTCTGCTGATTTGCTGCTCAAGAAACATTTCTTGTTAGTATCAATGTTGAAAGCAGCTGTGCTGCTTAAAATTTTGGGGTAAACTGTGATACATTTCCAGGGTTCTTTGATGAATAGAAAGTTCAAAAACAGTATTTATTTGATATAGATTTTTTTTGTAACATTATAAATGTCTTTACTGTCACTTTTGATCAATTTAATGCATACATAGTAACTCAATTACTTTTAACTGGTCCCAAAGTCATTTTAAATAGATATATGAAATAAAGTTTCTTTTTGTATAATGGTTTGCTTGAGAAGTTTGTTTTTGCTATCTTTCTTTAAAATAAATGACAGTTGGTTTGATAATTTGTTGCAAGTGTCCAAATGGGCAAGGTTTGCGAGTGCGTGACAGCGCTCAAACAGAGAAAACCCTTCCACGCACTGTTCTGATTGGCCATTGTTGCAGACAAAAAAATCTTGCCGCCTCGTGCCTGGTTACGGCAGTGTCAGTCTTCCTGTGAGCGGATCATGTCACTGTGCCATCTCGGTTGTGTTGCCTAGGCAGCAGACACCCAAATCCCCAGACCAGTTACAGTACATTATCTCTATCTCATTGCTGTGTGATTTACACTCAACCTCTTCCAATAGACAACAGCTGTAAATCAGATCACCCTTCCAAATACGCAGCTCTGCAGTTACAGACTGTGTTGAAATTGTATTGTTGAAGTTTTTTAGTAACTTGCTCATGTCTGTGAGATGAACTTGAATCTTTTTTATTTTTATTTGACTCTCTCAAGTGTCAGGGTGGTGCTGATGTCGCTCCATGACATTGTGTATGTGTGTGTGTATCCATTTGTGTTGTGGCTAGTCTTAAATCCAGCAGCTCAGCCCACAAGTTGGAGTGTTGACAGGCCAGTTTATCAGCCCCATGTGGATGTGTGTGTGCCCATGTGCCCTGCGGTCCTGTGTGACTAACACACTAATATCAGCAGTGTTTCTTCTTTGAGACCACACCCGATATGTCTAATTCTGCACTGGGCTCGGAAACGCACAAAGATATTCAAGAGCATCGCCAATCTCTTTTACACAGTTTAATCGGAGACTAAACTCTACTTTAGGGTGTACTGTAATATGTTTGCGTCTCATCTGTGTGATGGGCAGGTCTTCACCCCTCATTAACAATTCCCACTCTCTCAGAGGTGTTTCTGCAGGCTTTTGTGCAAAGATAGAAAAACCCACAAGCATTAAGCTTTAGCATATATCTATGAATACATGCATAGGGCCAGCTGATAAAGTGCTTTCTGAAGGGTATTTTGTGGAGTGCTGGCGTGTTTGGGGCCGTTTAAGCGGCGGTTCGCGTGGTGAGTGAAAGAAAGAAATTAAAGCTCAATGTTAGCTGCTGTCGCTATGTGCCTCAGAGCTGTTGTTTTACAGTTCCTGAGATATTTTTGCTCTCTCTCACACACACACACTCTCACTTGTGTCGTTTGAGGTGTGAGGCACATGTCAAAAGTGCTAAGGAGGAGGAGAGGAAGTGATGTAATGGTTCATCAATGCAGCAAGATTTACAATGGAGTGTACATCTTTGTGTTTAAAGCAATAATTCACACAAAAAAGCCCCATGAAGCTATATATATAGAGAGAGTAGGTGGTCTGACTCTTTAAATAACTTCCTTTCCTCTTCTGCAGTGCTGAATCTGTGTGGGGAGAATAAAAAATTCCAGCACCACTGGAGATCCTCTGGTTTTTCTGTGATCTTGGAGCATTTTTACACTTCACTGCTGGTTATCACTAATCCTTTGGATTTCAGATTAAATTTCTTGCAAAGTTGGAGAGGGAAAGCACAAAAGTCCCATTGAAATCCAAATAGCAAACTTAATGTTCAGATTTACTATTTCACCTTTTCCCCATATACATGACTCTCAAGTTATTTAAAACCTCAATTAGCGTTTGATTTCTGATGTTGGCCCGTGTCGTCACCAAAATCTAATTAGTGTAGGCTAGAAATATAGTTACTGAAAATGATTTAATTTTAAGATTTTCAGAAGTTAATGTGTAAATGATTCTTCCCTATGTAAAATATGCTACTGTCTACAATGCATGTGGAATGCTGCTATGTGGTTACTAAGTTTTTAGCAAGTTATTATGTGGTTGATTAGGAAGTTCTAGGTTGTTTCTAATGTGTTCATTTTTTAAAAATTCATCAAGTACATTTTAATGACTCTTTTATGAGGCATATTCTGTGATTAGTGGCTGCTTAGTTGTCTCCCCTGAACTGACACCCCTCACATGCTCTTATGCTCAGCCTCTGTGTGTTTTGATTGGACATAATTAGTACAGTCCCCGCCCCCATCAGTTTGACTGACAGCTGCTGTTCATCCTATTTTCTGGGGTGTGATGTAGACAGGGAGGACACACCATTTATCCTGTGTGTATTTCAATAATCACTATGTTGTGATTGGTAATGCAGTTAACTAGATTCTATAAGAAGCTAGGTCACGTCCTGGCGACAAGGTGAGAGTTGTTGTTCGGTTGTCGAGAGCATCTTGTCTGTTTTAATACTCAGATCCTTATGGCAGGGTTAGAGAGTAGAGCAGTGCGGTTAAATCTATTCCAAATTGACTGTGAGCTAACACTAATCCTGCTGGGATTTAATGGGATACCCGCATCAGGAGAGAACGTCTGTTGCTTAGTCTCTGGGCAGTCCAAAAATTGTACTGCATTTCTGCTCTAATGCTTTGACATTGTATGATTGCTGTTGACAGATGACTTACTGTGAATACAATCCAGCCAAAAGGTCCACAGACTCACCTAAATATCTGAGGTTTGTAGAGTACATTTGAACATTTTAAGGACTACCGTAACCTATTTCTTAGGTTGTTCACATTTAAAACTTTTTGACTTCTACTTCATTTTAATAGGTCTGACTGTATTTATCTATTTATTTACTGTATTTATTTTGAATTTTAAATGTTATATTTAAATGTTATATTAAATATTGTCTCAATAAATATGTGGCCATTCAAAACTGCATGCATAATAACTATAAACAAATGTGCAAAGTGCAGTTTAAAAAGTTGGAATATAGCATGTCAAATTACCCATCTAAAGTTAGGCTAATAAACCATATTAATTAGCGATAGAATCGTTTTTTCAGATTAATATTTACATTTAGATTACATTACATTTTTTAAGGGGGTTTCAAGTGACTTAATGCTTTATTTTAATGCATCCACAATGTTCACCTGGATCCTGAAATGCTAAGCAAAAGGATATAGGGATACTGGTATTATTCTGACACTTATTTTCAGCCGGAAAGATGAAATTATTGTCATTTCAAACAGGTTCTAATTGCCTGCTAGACATCATTGTGTTTAAATAAGAGTGTGCATTGTTGGTTTAGAGACTTGTGACATAAAAGGCTTGTACTTCTTCATGCTGGTCATTTCATCCACAGCGTAGAAGTTATAGTTTAAAAAAAGCACCATTACATATCAATCGGCTTATATGTGCAGAACTGCAATTTTGATAATGCCATTACAAATCTTCTTTTCCATAAAGCTTGTTAAGCGAATAAAGCCTCTTCGGATAGGGCATGAACCCAGATAAAGCCACAGACATAAACAATCCGGCCGCTTATGCTGCCATTCTAATTGTCTCCTTATCAGGTCTGTGAGTCAAATTGACCCTGTAGCAGAGTCACTACAGGGGTTGAGTTAGGGCGCTGTCAGTGGTGCTGATGCATGTGGGCCAGGGAGCTGTCCGTGGTCCTAATGGCCTCACAATCTCATGTGGGTGCTGAAAACTCTGCAAGGCGAGGCCATATGCTTCAGAAACATTGCAGATGGCATCATGGCATGAGATGAAGACTTTTAAACGATAGCGCAACGGTAGGCACAGAATTCTAGAACTGGCACAACTGATATTTGCAGCTCTGACTGTCACAGTCTGTTGACCTGCAGCATGTTTGTTGGTTTGTTAATGGGAATGGAAAGTGTGGGTTTAGCTACAGGAAATAGACAGGCCTGGTTGTTCAGTTTTCAATAGTTGAGGGATGGCCCTTGGTGTGTTTTCATTGGGTGTAAATGAAGCTGACAGCATGCCAGCCCCTTGGGTGCCATAGTGGTAAGAGTGATGCCATAGTGCACTTCTCTTACTAATAATGAATTACTGCCCTTATTCCAGTCTGTTCACTCATTGCATTGACAAATGTGTTGCATGTCTGTGAGAGAATATTTTATGGTTGAACTTCAGGCCTTTTTATCGATTTGCTGACTTTTAAGCTATTGATAATTTCACTAATTAAGAGCAGACACCAGCAACTGCTGCAGGATTGACATGGAATGGCAGTTGTGCTT